AAGAAATTAAAAATGTGATATCAGAAAAACAGAATGCACGGGAGGGAAAAAGATAGAGAGAGCAAACTGTAAACCATCTGTGTAAATAAATATGAGCTGCAGTATAATGCAGCAGGGAGTAAACAAAAACTTGTTGATATGGTATATCAATGCACACAAGAAGTGCACTTTCATTAAATGAATTGTCAGGTAAAGGATCGGAAGAATGTAAAAGCACATAGCCCAAAACAGGGCGAATGACAGCAGAACAAATTTTGGGCTCTTGCAACCCAACACATACTGGGGACAACTGGGAGAGCAACACTTGGAGTTCTCCTCGATTGCCCCCAAAGCCACGAACATTCCATTGCAAAAAAGACATTATGTATAGAAATAAAAAATGGCAACAATAAGAAACGATAAAACCTATGGGCTTTTAGGATCAGTAAAGTCAGCGTGTGGGAGCAATAGTAAGCAGGTGAGCAAGAAAGAATTAGAATAGATTGTGGCGAGGGTTGTGAAATAGAAGGGGTAGAAGGAGGCACATTGGTGTCCACTGGGGGAGTCGTCTCCACAACATAGCTGGAGATAGCATCTAACATCTCAGTTCTTAAGGAAGCCGATGATGCCATGATGTCAGAGGCAGGAGAAGCAATGCAAGTAAAGGTCAGAGTAACTATGGGGGCAGCCAAAGAGGTCTGAGGGGGGCAAGGAGTATGAACCTGGATAGATGTGTTGGTTGAGGTAGAAAAGTCCAGTGGTGTAACAGGAGAGGAAAGAGGTTGGAGGGCAACTATGAAGGAAGACCGGGGGAGGGGGAGGAAACAGGGGAAGAGGGGAATATGAGGTGATGTGAACTTCCACCTTCGTGTGAGAGCTGCTGGAAAGGGGGTGAGAACTAGGCTCTGAGGTAGAAGATAGATTCTGTATAGGCGATGGACACAAAGTGTAGGTCAGCAAGGGTTTGTAAACTGAAAAGCAAGTGAGCAAGATGAAGAAGTGGAAGAAGGAAGTGGTGCGGAGGTAGGAGTGTCAAAGGATAAAACTGCGAATTAGAAACTGGGGTGACCCTGGAACACATGGACATAGAGGGATTGGAAGGTTGGGGGACTGTCGAGGTTGGAGGTCTTTGGGTAGCCCAGTGGCCTGGTGGCTAAAGCTCCCGCTTCACACACGGAGGGCCCGGGTTCGATTCCCGGCGGGTGGAAACATTTCGACATGTTTCCTTACACCTGTTGTCCTGTTCACCTAGCAGCAAATAGGTACATGGGTGTTAGTCAACTGGTGTGGGTCGCATCCTGTGGGACAAGATTAAGGACCCCAATGGAAATAAGTTAGACAGTCCTCGATGACGCACTGACTTTCTTGGGTTATCCTGGGTGGCTAACCCTCCGGGGTTAAAAATCCGAACGAAATCTTATCTTATCTTACCTGAGCATAGGGGACTCGAGGAAGCTTTTCTTGAAGGTGGAGCTGAGAGACAGCCATAGAGTAAGGCCCTCATGCTCCTTAAGACAATGGATCTTTCATTCATTACAATAGACCTGGCAACAGTGTGAAAAGGAATAAAGAGGTTCCTTATAATTGGGACAAAAGGGGGCATGACTGCAAGATGATACTGGAATGATCCGCTGCACTGCAGACTGGGCATTCTGTTGCAGATCTGCAGTGTTTAGCAGGGTGCCCAAAATGCCAGCAATTACGACGCTATTAGGGAGTGGGAACTATTTGATGGACCTCTAAGTGATGGTCTGCCATATAGACAGAGGATGGAAATTCACGGTAGTCGAAGGTTAAATGAGCGATGTTACTAGGAAAGTGCCCTTACCCTTCATGCCAGTAAACCAGCGCTCCAGGATAGCAGCCTCGCGTCTACCGAGCTACCTCGGTGGACAAAAGAAAGGGTGGTCAGAAACTCACAACAAAGCATACCTCCTTTGGCCACCACCTTCCAAAACCGACAGGCAGCTTCCAGGGATACCCCCATTACCTGAAGGGCACCCCACCCATTTCCTGGAAATCTGGGAAGGTAGTAGGGCACCTTCAGATAATTCAGATTCCTCGGCAAACTATACCGCCCCTGAGGAACCTCATAGTGAGACAAACCCCGGCAAGCCATCCCCTACCTAGAAACTGTAATGCCAGAGGGGAACCCCAGAGGCTACAAATGGGATGGGAAACAAGGGGAGGGTGGGGAGATGGGAAGAAAGGGTAAAATAAGGGGGGTATTGGGAGGATTGGGGGATAATTAGGTTTGGTCGGAGGAATAAGACCAAGAAGTCCAATTCCTCAGACTGATAGCCTCTCTACCACTTCAAGGAGCTCCCTGAAACAGGTCCTTGTATAGAACTGTGTGCTTCACGTTCCAGTAACTTGGTGATTGGCTGTTGTGCTCATGCGCACATGTCTGAGAAAAGACACTGCATGCTAAGTAGAGAGCACTGTTGCTGACACAGTGCCGACCCTGTTGTGTCAGTAGTACTGTGTACTTGTATACAGTGGAATCTCAAATTTTGACTACTTTTTTTGAACCAACTTTGTCCCTATTATTAAACTCACCCCTTCTTTCGAACTGCCAGGTACTGGACCTGTCCACCAGCCGGCTCTGTCCATGTCTCTATGCAGGCACCGTGAGCCAGTCTGGCTTTGTTGATGCTTGAGTGAACACTAACCTGAGGTCTCATTCAAACATTTTATGATTAATTCATTGTGTTTAGTGCTTGTGGGACTGTGAAATATGCTACCATGGGCCCAAAGAAACTTGCTAGTGGTAATCCTGTGGTAAAGAAAGTAAGAAACACAATAGATGTGAAGAAGGAAATAATACAGAAGTATGAGGGTGGTGTGTGACTTGTTGAGCTTGCCAGGATGAATGGGAAAAACAAGTTGACCATCTCTTCTATCTTGGCAAAGAAAGAACAAATCAAGGAAGCTGATGTTGCAAAAGATGTTATTATGCTAACCAAAAAAAACACCACAGACAATCGATCAGGTTGAGAATTTGTTGCTGGTGTGGATCAAGGATAAAGAGATGGCAGGTGATAATGTTTCAGAGATGATTATTTGTGAAAAGGCAAGGAAGTTGCCTTCTGGAACAGAGAACTCCTGGAACCAGTGCTAATAGTGAATTTAAGGCCAGCAGAGGCTGGTTTGACAGATTTAAGAAGCATGGTGAGGTAGCCAGTTCAGACAAACGGGCGGCTGAGAAGCTGTACAGGAGTTTAAGGTTTACATAGACACTGAAAAATTCAAACCCCAGCAAGTGTTCAGTTGTGATGAAACAGGCCTCTTCTGGAAGAAAATGCCAAAGAGGACCTACATTACTCAGGAAGAAAAGGCACTCTCAGGACACAAGCCTATGAAAGAGAGGCTAACCATTTTATTCTGTGCTAACACTAGTGGTGATTTTAAAGTGAAGCCTTTACTTGCTTATCATTCAGAAAATCCCAGAGTGTTTAAGAAAAACAATGTCGTCAAGAATAGACTGCGTGTTGTAGAAAGCAAATAATAAGGCATGGGTGACAAGGCAAATTTTCAAAGAGTGGATTCATGAAGTGTTTGGCCCCAGTGTGAGAAAATATCTCCTAGACAATAATTTGCCACTCAAGTGCCTCCTGTTAATGGGCAATGCTTCTCCTCATCCTCCAAACTTAGTAGACCTCTTGTCTAGGGGCTTCAGTTTTATAACAGTTAAGTTCTTGCCTCCTAACACCACTCTCCTCCAGCCCATGGACCAGCAGGTCATTTCTAACTTAAAAAAACTCTACACAAAAGCAGTGTTTGAAAAGTGCTTTAAAGTAACCTCAGACACTAAGTTGACCCTAAGAGAGTTCTGGAGGAATCACTTCAATATCCACAGCAGGGAAGGTGGGGTAGGGGTCTGCCTAGGAATGGTTGGAGGGAGGGGGTAAAGGAGGTTTTGTGTGCAAGGGGCTTGGACTTCCAGCAAGCATGTGTGAACATATTTGATAGGAGTGAATGGAGACAAATGGTTTGTAATACTTGATGTGCTGTTGGAGTGTTTGCAAAGTAACATTTATGAAGGAATTCAGGGAAACCGGCAGGCTGGACTAGAGTCCTGGAGATGGGAAGTACAGTGCCTGGACTCTGAAGGAGGGGTGTTAATGTTGCAGTTTTATAAACTGTAGTGTAAAGCACCCCTCTGGCAAGACAGTGATGAAGTGAATGATGATGATGAGTTTTTCTTTTTCAGGCCACCCTGCCTTAGTGGGAATCAGCCAATGTGTTAAAAAAAAAAAAAAAAAAAAGTCCACAGCTCCATAAGCCTTATAGGTAAGGCTTGGGAAGGAGTGATTTCCAGGACTTTGAACTCTGTTTGGAGACAATTGTGGCCAGATTGTGTCCAAAAGAGGGATTTTGAAGGGTTTGAGGCTGACCCTGCCCCAGCTGGCCCTCTGCCTGTTGTGGACTCCATTGTGGCACCGGGGAACACCCTGGGGCTGGAGGTGAGTGGTGAGGATGTGGAAGAGTTGGTGGAGGACCATAAGGAAGAGCTAACCAGTGAAGAGCTGAAAGAGCTTCATTTGGAACAATATCAAGAACCTACTCAAGAATTTGCTTCAGAGGAGGAGGAAGAGAGAGTGGATGAGGTGCCTTCTTCAAAGATTAAGGAGATTTGAGCCAAGTGGAATGATGTTCAAATGTTTGTGGAGAAGTACCACCCTGAGCAAGCTGAAACAAGCCATCTAGACAACAAGTTCAGTGACAGAACCATGTCCCATTTCAGGGAAATCTTAAAGAGGCGCCAGAGACAGAGGACTATGGACAGTTATTTTGTGAGTCAGGGGTCCAGTGACTCTCAAGCTGGTCCTAGTGGCATTAAAAGACAGAGAAGGGAAGTAACCTCAGAGAGGGCTTTGATACCTAAAGTCCTTATGGAGGGGGATTTCCTTTCCAAACACTAACCCCAACTCCCTCTCTCCTCCTCCCTGTCTTCCAGATGCCATCACCAATCTTCAATAAAGGTAAGTAAAAATGTTATTTTATATTTTTATTTAAATTTATTAATAACTGTACACTATATTTGTTGTGTGTATGTAAAACTATAATGTAATACAATCTATAAAATGTATTTTTTTGTGTATATATTTGGGTTTCTGGAACGGATTAATTGTATTTCCATTACTTGTTATGGGAAATATTGCTTTCCCTTTCAAACTTTTCAACTTTAGAACTAGCTCCTGGAATGGATTAAGTTCAAAATTTGAGGTTCCACTGTACCTAGTTAAAACCGTTACATGAGTCACTCCCTCCCTGACTATGTGACTTCATTAAAACCAGTATGTGAGTCACTGGCTATGTGATGTCACGAGTCCCTTTGAACCACTGGGCTCCTGGGCAGTGGTCAATGAGTGAGCGAGTTCAGTAAAGGCGGCATAGCAGACACACACAGGCAGGCTCTGGGCTTTACCCCTCAAGACTCTCACATAATACACCTAGAACATCCTATGTGTGTATTTTTTCACCTACATCTCCTTGGCAAACCCCTACGACAGTTGTACAAGTGTAAGGTAGCGTTTCTTTTTGACTCAACGACGTGTGTTGTTCTTAAAAATCATGTACCATATTTTTGAATGTGATAAAGTGTAGAATTAGATGATTATCATGCTTCCAGCTATTTTATTTATTTTTGTTTATGATTTTGTCAAGCTTAAGTATAAATTTTCTTTTCATATGCTCGTTTCATTTTACACGAAATTAAAACTGGCTAAAAGTTTTCTGAAGAAGCACCTCCAGTAATTTTAGCTATGAGCCACCAATCCATTAAACACTAACATGTTTCATCTTTGTATGTACTCGCATATGTTGCACAAGATTGCCTTTTTCACTAAAATGTTTCAAGCACTTTGAACATTGAAATGGTTTATCTCCTGTATGTACTCTCATATGTCTCACAAGACTGCCTTTTACATTAAAACCTTTCAGACACTCTGAACATTGAAATGGTTTATCTCCTGCATGTACTCGCATATGCTTCACAAGACGGCCTTTTACACTAAAACATTTCAGACACTCTGAACATTGAAATGGTTTATCTCCTGTATGTACTAGCATATGTTTCACAAGACTGTCTTTTACACTAAAACATTTCTGACACTCTGAACACTGAAATGGTTTATATCCTGTATGAACTCTCATGTGCATTAAAAGACTATATTTCTCAGTAAAACATTTCAGACACTCTGAACACTGAAATGTTTTATCTCCTGTATGTAGTCGCATATGTTTCACAAGATTGCCTTTTTGACTAAAACCTTTCAGACATTCTGAACATTGAAATGGTTTATCTCCTGTATGTACTCTCATATGTCTCACAAGACTGCGTTTTACACTAAAACATTTCGGACACTTTGAACACTGAAATGGTTTATCTCCTGCATGTACTCTCATATGTGTCACAAGACTATCTTTTTGACTAAAACCTTTCAGGCACTCTGAACATCGAAATGGTTTATCTCCTGTATGTACTAGCATATGTCTCACAAGGCTGTCTTTTACACTAAAACCTTTCAGACACTTTGAACACTGAAATGGTTTATCTCCTGTATGTACTCGCATATGTGTCACAAGACTGACTTTTTGACAAAAACATTTAACACACTCTGAACATTGAAAAGGTTTTTCTTCTGTATGCACTAGCATATGTCTCACAAGACTGCCTTTTACACTAAAACATTTCCGACACTCGGAACACTGAAATGGTTTATCTCCTGTATGTATTCTCATGTGTGTCACAAGATTGCAGTTTTTACTAAAATATTTCAGACACTCTGAACACTGAAATGGTTTATCTCCTTCATGTTTTTTCATATTTTTTAAAGATATTTCCATTTTAAAATATTTTATTCACTCAAAAGCGGTATAGTTAATATTGTGTACTCTCATGTGTATTTCAAGATTTATTTTTTGGTAAAATATTTTGTGCACTAGACATATATTTATGCTCATGAATATATTACAATGTTTAGATGTGTTTTAGGCAAAACTATTTCTACCTAGGATCACTGATAAAGTTTATTTCATGTGTTTTAAAAAACTACAATAATTTTGTTTGTTTTGTGTTAAACACAAACATATATGTACTAAAACACTGAAGATACACTGAAGAACATTTTCATTATTTTTCTATCGAGTTTAATTTTTTTTTTTTTTTTTTTTTTTTTTAATTTTTAACAACAATATTATTAATGTATTTTTCTATTAACTGCCATGCAATTTCTAGATAGAGATTGCAATATCAAAAGCAAAATTCTTTAATTACTAATACCTGACCAGTTAAAAATTCATAAGAAAAACATGTGTTGCCCTTCTTGAAGTACTGAAGATATAGTGTCTTGTAAGATACAACTTGGTAGTCTTACACTGGTGCTTCTTGAAGTACTGAAGATATAGTGTCTTGTAAGATACAGCCTGGTAGTCTTACACTGGTGTTTCTTGAAGTACTGAAGATATAGTGTCTTGTAAGATACAACCTGGTAGTCTGACACAAAATACTTCTGCAAGAGAAACATGCATCAGTATAGTACTGTACAATATTCCACCATTACCAACACAACATATTGAACTAGAAAACAAGTTTTTCTCTATTATCGAATGTTTCACTAAATAAAATTATAATTTTCATATTTTTAAAGAAAAAAAGAAGTAGAGAAGTTTTCAGGCATAGCATATATTTTTATCTGTAAATATGTAACAGATTAATCACATGATGAATATATTATTATTTTAATCAAAAAGAAGCGCTAAGCCACAAAGGCTATACAGCGCTGCAGGGTAGGGAAGGAAGCGAGGGTATTAGGCGGCAGAAGGGAGGAGGGATGATCAGTAGGTTACAGAAAACAGCGGGGTAGGGGATAGTACGGGGGTAGAGGGTAGCAAGAGATTGAGGTAGAAAGGGCTGAAGGTATCAGAATTTGTGAAGTAAGTCAGTTGTTGCCAAAAAGTCAACGAGGGAGTCCGGATGAAAGGTGGGTCCATCAGCGAGAAGGGAAGGTAAAGAGAGAGCAGCGGAGTGAAGACGACGACGGAGGTAAATTCTGCGTGCTTGTTGATAAAGTGGGCAGTCCAACAGAATGTGGCTGACTGATAATGGAGCCTGGCAATTCTCACAGAGAGGAGCAGGGCGCCTCTCCATGAGATATCCATGAGTAAGATGAGTATGGCCAATGCGAAGAAGGGAGAAAGTAGTCTCCCAACCTCGACACTGGTGATAAGAAGACGGCCAGTAACCTATACTCGGTTTAATAGACTGAAGTTTGTTACCGAACATAGTAGACCAACGTTGTTGCCAACGGGTGTGAAGGTGGGAAGATATTGCAGCAAAATAGTCTGTAAATGAAATACCTCTATATGAAACTGGTAGGTCATGTACTGCTGACCGCGCAGCAGTGTCTGCCTGTTCATTGCCCTGTACGTCAACATGGCCAGGGACCCAACAAAAAACAATATCTTCATGCTTGGTAAAGATGCGGCGTAGCCAAAATTGGATACGGAGGACTAAGGGGTGAGGTGTATCAAATTTCTGTATAGCCTGTAAAGCACTAAGGGAGTCTGAGACAACCACAAATGATGACACAGGCATAGATGCAATACGGATAAGTGCTGCAAGGATGGCATACAATTCAGCAGTAAAAATACTAGCCGAAGATAGTAAATGCCCTCGTACGATGCTGTCTGGAAACACTGCTGCGAATCCTACGCCATCAGAAGACTTAGAGCCATCTGTGTACACAGCAATGGCATGAGAATGAGTGGAAGTGGGCAAGAAAAAGAGAGCGGGAAGCGACCATAGACAGTTGGGCTTTCGAGCAAGGGAGAGAGAAAGAACAGACTCGAACAGCTGGAACTTCCCAGGGGGGTAGGGAAAAGTAAGATGCTACATGAACATAGAAAGGTGGTACTTGAAGAGAAGACAAGAGCGAATGAAGGCGGAGAGAGAGGGGACGGAGTAAACAGGGGCGGCGAGCAAATAAAGAATGTCTACTAATATCAGTGACCATTCTATAAATGGAAGGATTACGGAGATCATGAGAGCGTACATAGTAGCGAAGGCAATGGGCATCACGGCGATTGGATAAGGATGGAACGTTCGCTTCTGCATAGAGGCTCTCAACAGGGGAAGAGCAAAAAGCACCAAGGCATAAACGTAATCCTTGGTGATAAATGGGGTTAAGGCTAGAGAGAGTAGCAGGAGATGCCGCTGAATAGATCTGGTCACCATAATCAAGTTTCGATAAAATGAGGGTGGAATGTAGGCGAAGGAGGGTTCGACGATCAGCTCCCCATGAAAGATGAGCAAGGGTTTTAAGAAGGTTCAGCTGGCTGTGACAAGTTGCCTTCAGAGAGGTAATGTGAGGTTTCCAGGATAACCTACGGTCAAAGAGGAGGCCCAGAAACTTGACTGTATCACATTCAGGGATATGGGAGCCATAGAGGTACAAAGGATGATCGGAGATGACAGAGCATCTAGTGAAAGTAATTTGGTGGGTTTTAGTGCTGGAAAATTTAAACCCATGTGTGGTGGCCCAATCGGAAACATGGTCGACCGCATGCTGGAGAGAAACTGTAATGAGGTGACAGTCAGCGCCTGCACAGGCAATAGCGAAGTCCTCAACATAGAGTGATGACCAAATATTTGATGGAAGACTAGAGGCCAAATCATTAATAGCAAGGAGAAAAAGTGTTGTGCTCAGAAAACATCCCTGGGGGACACCTTCAGCTTGGATAAAGTCCAGGGAGAGCACATTATTAACCCGAACACGGAAATGTCTATCAGTTAAAAAGTTCTTAAGGAAGGATGGTAGATTGCCTCGGAGGCCTAAGGAGTGGGCTTGGGGCAAAATATACCTCCAAGTTGTGTCATATGCTTTCTCAAGGTCAAAAAATATGGCAATAACTGAGTGGTTATTCGCAAAGGCATTACGAACATACGTATCCAAGCGTAGTAAGGGGTCTATGGTATAACGTCACTTTCGAAAGCCATATTGATGAGTGGAGAGACTGTTGTGTGTCTCTAAATACCACATTAAATGTCTGTTTACCAGGCGTTCCATCACTTTGCAAACTGCACTGGTAAGAGCAATGGGACAATAGTGAGAGGCTTCATGTCCCGTAGTGCCTGGTTTGCAGAAAGGGAGAACAATGGCAGATTTCCACAGCTGTGGAAGAACTCCTTGTGACCAAATAAGATTGAAAAGGCGTAATAGGACTGCAAGGGCTGACTCATGTAAATGTTGTAGCATACGAATATGAATGTCATCGGGCCCAGCTGCCGATGATTGGCAAGCTGAGAGCATTGCCTCCAGTTCTTGAAGTGTAAAAGGCACATTATACTGTTCTTCTCTGAGAGAAGAAAAGTCCAAGGGTGCTAACTCTCTGGCAGACTTTGAGGAAAGAAACGAGGGGCATAGATGGAGCCCCTGAGAAATATGGACCAGATGGTTGCCAATTTCATTGGCAACATCTAGTGGGTTTGCTATATCAACACCGGCAACCTGCAGAACAGGAGCCGGGTCAGGAGAATATTTACCACTCAGTTTTCGTACTTTTCTCCAGACTGCACTCATAGAGGAAGCAGAGGTGATGATGGAGACATAATCTCGCCAGCAAGCGCGTTTAGCATCACGGATGACACGGCAAGCAATCGCACGCTTCTGCTTAAAATCAAGAAGTCTCTCCGTGGTTCTATTGTACCGGTACCTGCCCCATGCAGCGTGTTTCAAATGTACTGCACGAGCACAAGCAGGAGACCACCAAGGCACGCATTTCTGAGAATGCCTGCCAGAAGTTTGGGGTATAGAATGAGAAGCTGCGGTTAAAACGGAGGATGAGAAGAGGTGTAAAACCTCATCAATGGAGGACGAAGAAGGAACCTCACTAAAAACAGTTAGTTGTGAGTAAAGGAGGAGTTGAAGGTTTCGGAGACCACTCCTTTATTTATGAACCGATTACATTCATTTTTGGTGTACTATTAGAAGCTTATATTAAAGAGCCTTTGCTGAAGTTTCAATCATATCGGCCAAAAAGGAAATGAAATATGCAAAATTTATGAAAAATTACATTTGGCAGTACTCAAGTACTCAGTGGTACTTGGAAAAGTGGTTTTGACACTTTCTGCTGATAGAACACTTCTAATTCCATCATATTTGAAGCCCCAATTATATAATAAATCTTACGTTCATGCTAAAAAAAATAAAGTTTCATAACTTTTTTGACATTTTGGAAGATGTCGGTCTTGTTGCCCACACAAATCTGAAAATATTTGGGATACTTCAGAAACATTTCTGACATTTTGTAAACCAATCATTCTTCTATGTTTGTTGTGAAAATCAAGTCAATTCATTCATAAATAAAGATAGAGAATCCATAAATAGGTAAATAACTTACTTTTGAGATACAGGCCGAAGCACGCGGCACCCCAGGTGCCCGGGAAATATTTTTTTCCCCGAAAAATTCGCTTTATTTTACACTTTTTGCGTGACCTACGAGTGTTTATTACAGTTAACCATTGTAAATCCGTTTTCTCTCATCACTGATGAGAGAGGTCGGACCCTCTCTTCACCTTCAGGGGAAATATCAATAGAAATTTTTTCCTCGGGGCGTCATATTATGCTACATATTATGTTTATATGCTATTATTATATTGCATTATATCATAATAGATCAATTGTGATAGATAAATAAGCCTTATAATTGATATTAGCGTGGGTATGGAATATTTTGTTGGCTGGAGGTCTCGGCCATTTTGTGCACTATTCCCAGGGGTTCCCGATTGGTTCCTTGATCATATTATCTCCGCCCACTCTGGCATGATCTCAGATGGTGAATTTGTATTATATTAGACATAATGATATAAGAAAACGATAACAATAACACGGGGAAAAAACGTAAACAAAGCCGAGTCAGCGCTTCTTACGCAATAGGTCGCGTCAGCGCTGTCACCATGCCTGTTATAAATGGCTGTAATTCCTTTTAGAAACATCGTACAAGGATAATAATTATACCAGAGTGTAGCCAGAAAGTTCAGCTATTTTTTGGTAACAATAACTCAATTTTCATATTTCTTCGAGTGTTTTCTCTCTCCACGCTCCGAAACCTTCAACTCCCCCAATTTGCCCAATTTGCCTGATCAAATTGCCAGCGTGGGATACAAAGAGGTGGTGAATATGAAGGGGAAGTAAGAATGATTGGGAAATGATCGCTGTCATGTAAATCCGGGAGAACAGACCAGGTGAAGTCTAATGCGGCGGAGGAAGAGCAGACTGTGAGATCGATGCAAGAGAGAGTGCGAGTCCGAGGATCAAAATGGGTGTGAGTACCTGTATTTAAAACAAGGAGGGAGTGGATGGCAAGAAAAGCCTCTAACTGAATGCCACGGGAATTACAGTGAGACCCCCCCCCCCGAGGAAATGATGGGCATTAAAATCGCCAAGTAACAGAATCGGTGGTGGTAATGACGAAACAAGAAAGGCAATATCAGGAATAGATAATGCTCAAG